CACCTTGAGCTAAGCCAAAATCTCCAAAAAATTCTATCTTATCTCACACAAAACAAAAAAAACTTGATTAAAAAGTTTCCATTTCAATCGGCTTAAGCCACGCACTCCACRCTTAGATAATATCGATATTCAACCATGACTACGACAACTAATCTAAACTAATCTAAAGTGATTTTCCAATGCCAATTTTAGAATTTCTAAATCTAAACACTTGACTGTTTAAATGGGTTCCATATAATGCTCACTATTTCCCAACACATTTAATCATAATAATAATCATAGAGAAAGCAATAAAAGCTCTTAAAAAAGTCAACTCAGCAAATGTTTTATAAATCAGGCTACATCTGATAGCCAATAGAAATCCTAGAGACAATTTCAGACTCAAAAAGACTTATATTTTCAAGGCATTCATATAAGGCAGCTCTTATCACATCAATTGCCAAATTAGTTTATAATCCCAATTTATCACAATTCAAAGCACATTATCAGAATTGTCTTATAAAAGGGAAAGTGGTCTTAACACTTGTCTGTTCCATGCAGCGAATAATGTAGATAAAGTAATGCCTATCATTCAATATGAGCTGATTGTAGTCTCATATGGCTGTGATTCAAATCCTAAATATAAATTTAAAACTATATTATATATAGAGACGGTAAATAGTCTCAGGAATTAATAGAACGTGATATCATATCTAATCAAAAAGTTATTTTCCCCCGACTATAATCCATCACAACTTGAGTAGTGTCTCAGAGAGAAAGTAGTTTTAGCTCTTTCGGCGAATGACTTATCTAAAGTAATGAAAGACAGATTTAACTCAAATCCAGTTGAAAGTCTTCTCTCATAGTCAGCATCAGCTTGACTGTACACATGGTGCAGGGTATACGACACTATTATGGGAATTCATCAAATTGAATAGCACACACACACGTATATACATATGTGTGTGTATTATATGTATATTTTTTGCGGCTATGCTAAGTGCTTGTATATAGAGCATAATTAAAGCAGGCCGCAGTGCAACAAAGTGCGTGTACTTCTGGCTGACAGCATATTGAGCTGTTGGGTAATACGTTCCAAGTGTGTATGCGTATGTCTCTCTCTCTCTCTCCGACTCTCCATCCCCCTCTCACTCTCATTCTCAATCTCTGCGTGTGTGTGTGTGTATCTATGTGCAGCTGGGCTTGGGCTTAGAAATTCATTTCGGTGGCCATTAGACGTGAAACTTATTTATTTATAAAACACAACACAGAACGCGCAGTCGAGTGTATGAATTCAGTGCTCTGCAACACCGAAGACAACAAGCGACAAAAATTTAACGATAAATATAAAAATAAAAATAAACCAAAACGGCAAAAGCAAAGGCAAACCCAAACCCAAAGGCAAAGCCAAAAAGGTGCAAAACCCAGGACATCAAATATTTAAAGAGAAATTAAAATAAATAAAAGCTGAGCAAATAGAACAACAACAACAACAACAACAACAACAACAGCAACAAAAACTAAAATAAAGCAAATAATATAAACATTGTGCTCACACACACGCACACACACAAACACCTTGCTCTCATTGTGTATTAAAATTAATTCTTTGTTTTCTACTCTTTGCACGTTAATTTCAACAGTTTTGCGCGACTTTTTTTGCTTATCAAATTCCACAGAAATATACCGAAAATAAAAACAAAATAAATCTGTAATAAATAAACACACGCGTATGTAAAAAAAAAAGAAAAAAAAAAAAAGAAAAGAAAACAGCGAAAAAAAAATTAAAAAAAACAAAAGCAAAAGCAATTAAAAACGAAACAAATTTTGCCGTTAGTCAAGTGGGGGCAAACGCCCAACGTACACGCAACTCGACCCACCAACAAACATAACAAGCAAATAAAAAAATATAATATAACAACCAAAAATACCAAACAGAGAAAAGGAACAACAACAAAAACATTTAAATTAAATCAACAGCATCCAACAAGAAGAGGAAGAAGTCCAAGCCGAAGAGCAGCAGCCGCAGCACGCACAACCAGAGGAAAAGGAAAGGTAAATTTTACAGCAGTGGAACAAAAGTTAAAAAAAAAAAATAATAATAAAAAAAAATAAAAAATAATTAAAAACTACATGAAAAAATAACAGAGAATTTTTTAATTAGTTTCAAATTAAGTACGAAACTACAAATTGCAACTGAAACTCAAACTCAAACTCTAAATGCGAACACAAACTGAATTAAATCAAAGATAAAACTCAAAGAGACTCAAAGTCAGGCACGTTGCGCATACGCCGCGTGTGCCGCAGCAGCAAACATTTGTGCTGTGTATGTTTGCATTTACTATTTACTTTTTTTCTTTTTTTTTTTTTTTGGGCTACACTTAATTCAATTCGTTTGGCAATTCAACAAATTAAAAGCCAAATGCGTTTACTTAGCCCAACAATTGTTGACAGTGACGAGCTGACGATTTGCTAAATAATTTACATATGATTTATATTTGCGCACCATTGTCGGTCAGCGAATGCAAATCAGCGTGGGATCTAGTTGAAAGTATAGATTTATGGCCAAATGCTCGGCACGTAATTGCTGGGGCATTTAAAGCACACAACACACAACAGGCTCGACAAAAGTTCAATTCAATTTTCTCGCTTGCCGATGAAACATAACAGAAAAGCAAAACAATAATAATACAAGTTATAATCGGGTGTTAACGACTGCATAATGCTCATCTAACAGAATTATTTTCCATTGCGCCACGCCCCTTTTTGACGTATCTGCATATATTGTTGTGCAAATCTATAGAAGGTATAGACAGCTATTTTTAGAATTTTTAGCTTCTAATTTAAAAACTGTAGAGCCGATTAGCTACGCCCCCTCATGATTGTATATATGTATATCCGCCATATCTTTGGCAAGCGCATGTTCCATATTCCAACTCTCTAGCTGTTTAGGTGATGGTTTTTGAAATGGGCATGTGCCACGCCCTTAGTGGACGGAGCGAAAATATCTAGAATATCTTTTATAATTCTTGGTTAGAGTAGAGATTTGGAGAGACGGACGACCGCACTGTCCGGCAAGAAAACCCATATACTCCTTGCACATTCGTGAATGAGCAGGAACGGAGCAGAGAAGAGAAATAAAGATATTTAAGAATTGCCGTTAAGTTGGTGACGTCGCGGCGACAGGTTGACAGCGTGTGTCGAGATTTAATAAAGCTCCTAGTTAGCCTGTCAATTTCCAGATGCCGGCGCTGTGGCTGCCACATAGGACATCAATACAAGCGTAAATAAATGTATACAAATATGTATATGTATATGAGGAGATTGTATAGCATTTTGATGCGCATCACGCATCAATTAAAAATGCTCATTCAGGTTGTGTCTAAGCAGCTCAAAGCAAACATTAAATCCTTGAATTGCCATTCAATTATTCAATAAATTATATTTATTTTGCAGGCTGCTCGGCATTAGATTTGGAATTGCTTAGACAACTTTTGTGCAATTCGCCGTCAGCTCTAGTTAACATCTTAATTGCTCGACTAACTTTTCACGCCGGGAGCCAGAGATTTGTTATGGCATTAGCAGGCTGTTAAAGTTAAGCTGTCGCTGTTTGAATTGCCTTGAAGTGCAGCGATTGCAAGTAATTCAATAAGCTTTTGTTTGAGGGCAGCTTGGCTGAAAAGTTGTGTATTTAATAGGGGATGACCGAGCATTAGCTGCGTGGCTGTTGAGCGACAGATAAGTGTGTGTCTGTGTGTGTGTGTGTGTGTGTGTCAATAAATCAATCATTTAAAAAGATTAATTGCTTTGATTTCTACTAATTAGATGCAATTAATGGAGCATGTGTGCACTTTCAGGGCGACACAAACACACACAGAGACAGACACCCACACACACACACACACACATGCACATGTCTGGCACTCGAATGGCATTTGTCTGCGATACCCGCAAACACTCAGTTGCACTCAGACGTCAAGCTAAAGCGTCACTTGAGTGACTCGCACACACACACACACACACACACACACACACGCACAGCACGTGTGGAAATGCAATTGGTGCAGCTTCTTCTGTCGCTTGCTGATGATAATGCCGTTGATGGGGCAGATAATTGCCGCCCAATTGCCTTGGAGCTCAAACAGTGCCACACAGATGAGTTCGTCCAGCAGCCGTGCGAATGCATTCACCAGTTGCTAAATGCCATTTGCTATTTGCTATTTGCATGGCATTGCTTTTCTTTTATGGCCAGTTGCCTTTTGGGCTAAAACTAATCACGCCCGGAGCAATGCGACACGTTTCATAATCGTCGCGCTGACGCTGCTAAAGCTGTTTAAAGCATTTACGCGGCGGGTCTTAGGCAGGGCCGATAAGATAATAGCGCACCCACGGACGCCGTTGATACACCGATAGGCTATGGACAACAACAACAACTAAATAATAATAATAAAGCAAAAAAAAATAAAATAAAATAGAACAGCAGCGACTTAAGTCTCGCAAGTCTCGATTGCTCTGGCGATACGAGCACACACCAGTTTCGTACATTGTTAATGCGTGTATCGAAAATATCTCTGATTGACGTATACACTAATTAATAGGCGACATTCTGGCTGTGCAGCACACGCACTCTGCCCACCTGCCGTTTGACCCTACCTCACACTCACTCTCACTTGAACTCTTCGCCCCGCCTGTCCCGCACGCATTGAGATTTGAATTGCTTGATAAGTGGCGACACAATTGTATTCGTGCATCGATAAGATTTGAGATAAAGTTTTTAGCTTTAAACAATATGCCATCATCTAAATATAGCACTGCCAGAGGTGTGTCTACTTTTCGACGTGACTGTGCGACGCTCAGCCAACAGCCAACAGCCAACAGCCAGCGGCCAAATGGCAACTGCCAACTGCCAGCTGAGGCTAAGGCACTACGTGTCGCGTCGTGCCGTGTCGTGTCGTGTCGTATCGTGTCGAGACACCCTGCACTTATTTCAAGTGCCCAACACTCCAGCGACCACTTAAAGGATTTGCATTTACACACAGTGTCAATTACTGTTATGCAATTGCTGCCCTCTCTCACTCTCTCACTCTTTCTCTCTCTAGCGCTCTTCTACTCACACTCGCCTTATCGCTGAGCAAATATATTTTGCAGCTGATTGGCAAATTTAGACAAATTTGATTCGAAATTTCTCAGCTTTTGTTTACAGACATTGTATATATATAGAGTATATATATATATAAATATCTAGATATATGTGCATGTACTTAACATCTACTGAGATTTTGCCTGTCACACACACACACACACCTGCACACACACCCACGCAGCCCGACGCACTTTGGCATTTTCCTCAGTTATCCGTACAATACTTTTTTCTCTTTCGCATTTGAAACTAATATGAAATAGTCAAATGTTATGCAATTGCAATGGCTCAACAACAGTTGCATTTGACTTGTGGCTACGGCTCTAAATAGCTGCAACTGCCCAAGGGTTTTGCTTTGGCTCACTGCTGACACTCGCATAGATTGCGGCGTTATGCAAGCAATTTAATTGGCCTTCAGAAACACACATTGAAAACTAAGTTTTCTCTCTTTTCCTTTATTTAAAGAAAAATTACGAATGAAATGCTATCAAAAATATATTACAAAAAAAAAAAAAAAAAGAAAATCGGTTTATGCAGGCAAATCATTGAGAATGCGCAGGTTAGGCTCAGGCTTCAGAGAGCTGAATATGAAGTGAGATGTTGCATTGCTTTTTATATTGATTTAAATTTATGTATATTATCATGATTTTTCTTCTTTCTTTTTTTTTCTGAGTAAGTCCCATTAGCAAGTCTTGCCCTCAACTGTTGTTCAGCCTTGTCCTTCCAAGGACCTCCTCAGTTATTCGGCATGAAAATGAAGAAGTCACAAAGAGCGAGCTCACTCTCCGCATTAGTATCTCCGTTTTATTCAAAACTTTGCTATAGACTCCTTGCTCCAACCTTAAAAACAATCGCAAGTCTTAATAAAAAATCTTATCTGGTCATTCAGACTAGTTCAATTCTCTGGTATATGATATGCAACAAGGAAATCTTTAAAAACAATATAGGCAACCCTCGACAGATCAGCATTTGCAAGACTTTTGAAGTATATCTCACATATATCTCACATATTTGTCAGGATCTGTCAAATTAGTTTGATATTTTTGAAGACGAGTCCTAAATGCTTCATGCTGTTTGTTATGTGTAAGCCCAGTACTCTTTGAGCACACCTCGCTCACATGCTATCGATATATATCCCTTATACACCATATTATATGCCTTTTAAGCTACCCCAGCTCTATTAGCTCTCATAACAAACCCAATTACTTGCCAAACAGCCCTCGCATGCGAATGTTATGATTCTTCTCCGTGGTAAGCCTTAGTTCCTAACCTAACTGAAAGGAAGGCAATTAATTTGCAATAATTATGCTACACTTATTGAAAGCATTGCCTTGGCATTCAAATTGAGCTGAGCTCTGAATAAATAATTGCATGGCTTTGAATGGCTCTAAAGGCGTGACCTACGCTGTACGCACACAATCATCATAAGGTGGGCAGTAACACAGCTATTTGCTCGATATACAAAATAATTAGTTCTCTTTGAGAAGTTGTTTCGCCTCTCGTCTGCTTCTTCCCTATTATTTTTTTTTTTTAATATTTCACTCAATCATAGCTCAAAGCAGAGAGTTATGTTTGAATG